GGCGAACATCTGAGTGAGGGAGGCCTTACTTTTAAACCCAAGGCAGGTGTTCGCCAGGCCTGGCGAACGAAAGGGATCGCCAGGCGCTAACATCTTGGATTCCTGATAAATCTAGCGCTTCGGCGAATAAAAAAAAAAAAAAAACGCGAGAAAAGCAAAAGGTTTTAAAAGTACGGGCCATAAAGTTAACCTTGTTATAGTATAAAGTGTAGTATAGCATAAAGTATAAAGTTAATTTTGTTATAGTATAAAGATATTTTCAACTTCTTTGTTATAGCATAAAGTTAAATTTTAACTCCTTTGTTATAGTATAAAGTGAGACTATTGCTACTTTATGCTATACTACACTTTATACTATAACAAGGTTAACTTTATGGCCCGTACTTTTAAAACCTTTTGCTTTTTCTCGCGTTTTTTTTTTTTTTTCATTCGCCGAAGCGCTAGATTTAGCAGGAATCCAAGATGTTAGCGCCTGGCGATCCCTTTCGTTCGCCAGGCCTGGCGAACACCTGCCTTGGTTTTAAAAGTAAGGCCTCCCTCACTCATATGTTCGCCTGGCGAAGCTTCGCCAGGCGAACGCCAGCTTTGGCGAAAGGTTTTAAAAGTACTTTGTACTATACTGTATCAACCTTATACTGTTATACAAAAAATAACTTTATACTTTATACTTTAAGTTTAAAAATTACAATTTTACTATTCCTAACTGATGTAAGATATTGAACTGTAGGCCTACAAGGGTATCATTAAACACGCCTCATTATAGGGCAGTGGAGCACTACAGCCATGTTTCTATAGCCAAAAGTAAACATGCCGCCATAAAAAACACCTGGTAACATTTGTGAAAAGAACATTATCCTTAAAACCAAAATAACAACAACCTAAATCTAAATAAGTCATCTCGGGGGTGGGGGGTAGGAATACAGCTGATGTCTTGAGCTCTCGCCTGGAACATCGAAGGTCTTGAAAAAAATACGTATATACGTAATTTCATAATAAATTATGATTTTAAGATATTTTATAATTTCAATGTGATTCCTACATCCTATCATACACAAATATATTACTAATTTATAATTTGAAAGCAAGAAAATGGTATTCAAACAGCTCTCTTCGCCAGGCTGTTCCAATATGATCTTTCGCCAGCCCTGGCGAACGTTCGCCAGGCATGATTTTAAAAGTACGAAATTCCGGATCGCCCGGCGAAACCTTTCGCCAGCCCTGGCGAAAGGTTTTAAAAGTACTCTAAAAACTTTCGCCAGTGCTGGCGTTCGCCTGGCGATGCTTCGCCTGGCGAACATCTGAGTGAGGGAGGCCTTACTTTTAAACCCAACGTTCGCCAGGCGCTAACATCTTGCATTCCCGCTAAATGTAGCGCAAATTTGTTTACATCTGCAGTGCACATAACATAACCTAAACTTAATTATTAACCTCGAGAGAAGACGAAAATGTTTCCGCAATAGTCTCACTTTATACTATAACAAAGGAGTTAAAATTTAACTTTATGCTATAACAAAGAAGTTGAAAATATCTTTATACTATAACAAAATTAACTTTATACTTTATGCTATACTACACTTTATACTATAACAAGGTTAACTTTATGGCCCATACTTTTAAAACCTTTTGCTTTTTCTCGCGTTTTTTTTTTTTTTTTTATTCGCCGAAGCGCTAGATTTATCAGGAATCCAAGATGTTAGCGCCTGGCGATCCCTTTCGTTCGCCAGGCCTGGCGAACACCTGCCTTAGTTTAAAAGTAAGGCCTCCCTCACTCAGATGTTCGCCTGGCGAAGCTTCGCCAGGCGAACGCCAGCATTGGCGAAAGGTTTTAAAAGTACTTTATACTATACTATATCAACCTTATACTTTTATACAAAAAATAACTTTATACTTTAACAAGAGTTTAAAAATTACAATTTTACTATTCCTAACTGATGTAAGATATTGAACTGTAGGCCTACAAGGGTATCATTAAACACGCCTCATTATAGGGCGGTGGAGCACTACAGCTCTGTTTCTATAGCCAAAAGTAAACATGCCGCCATAAAAAACACTTCTGGTAACATTTGTGAATAGAACATTATCCTTATAACCAAAATAACAACAACCTAAATCTCGGGGGGGGGGTAGGGATAGGGGTGTAGGAATACAGCTGATGTCTTGAGCTCTCGACTGGAACATCGAAGGTCTTGAAAAAAATACGTATATACGTTATTTCATAACAAATTATGATTTTAAGATATTTTATAATTTCAATGTGATTCCTACATCCTATCATACACAAATATGTTACTAATTTATAATTTGAAAGCAAGAAAATGGTATTCAAACAGCTCTCTTCGTCAGGCTGTTCCAATATGATCTTTCGCCAGCCCTGGCGAACGTTCGCCAGGCATGATTTTAAAAGTACGAAATTCCGGATCGCCCGGCGAAACCCTTTGCCAGCCCTGGCGAAAGGTTTTAAAGGGCTTAGTCTCGCGCGCCCTGGCATCTCTCCGCCCGGTCAACGCTTGCTACAGTTGTTGCTTTCGTGTTTTTCTATGTACATGTTAACTTTTTTTTTTATGTTAAATCATATAGGTCACCTCTATTTGAGTTTGCCCTTTGACCCCGTACTCTCATTTGCGATTCATTTGAAAAAAAAAAAATCATTTCTCGTTCCTTCTGTGAGTTTGAGGGTCAGTTTCATCTTGTAAAAGCATCGCTTATTTTTATTTAACCTTTTTGTTAATTTTTCTAGCTTTCTTCTGGTTTTAAGAAATGTCTATTTTAATGTTATATTTTACTAATTGTACGTCTTTCTGCCTACTCCACCTTGAGTACGCATTTTTCTCATCTCGTTATGAGGATTATTTTATGTATGTTCTCTGTGAATTTTCTTGGTGTTTTATGTGCAAACTTCCGTTTTTACGAACGATGTTTGGCGTCACCGAGGATATAAATATGTCGCGTTGAGCAGGAAATATTTGATTTTCCTCGAAACAACGGCGTTTTGCTCTCCTCCTGGCTGACCTATCCCGACATACCGGACGGTGGAATACGCTGCATATATCTTGGCTTCATCCTACACGAAAAGTATAAGTTAAGTCCTGTTTCCTGGATATTTTTCTTTGTGCATAGGAGCTGGTCGTGATTCTTTGTTAGTAAACGTAAATATAAGCCAGTCTTAGAAGTTTTACATTAATTATTAAGCTCGTGAATCTTATTGAAACTTTCTTCTTTCCTTTCACTGTTTTATTGTCTAGATTGCTGTTTTAACTGTATTTTAATTGATAATCCTGAGGTATATCAACGGGGTCAGTTGGTTTCTGTATTCACGCTACCACTCCTTAGAAACCAATCTGGCACGAACCCATTAAACAAATTCACATTGGTTACGGAACCACAATACTCCACTACATTACCATTACTATTATCATTATCATTGGCAATATTATCAATGCTATTTTTACTAGTAATACAATATCCATGCTATAATTGCCATTGTTGTTATCATTACCATCCGTTATGTTAGAAGTATTGACATCATTATTGTTATTATTCTCCTCCTGCTCATCATCATCATCACCATCATTACCATACTCACTGTCACCATTTCCCGCGTGATCTTGCCCTTAACAAAAGCATAATTCGGTGCTACAAACAATAACGGCTAAATGTTTGTT